AAACAAGCTTCTGATAGCTGCAAGCCACATTTGGTCAGACTTGAGTGCGTCTGTTGTTTGGAGGACAGCTTTGAGTTCAACTTTGGTTTACAATGTTTTGGTGCAAACTGAAAGCAAAACAGGATTTAACAGATGAACTCAAACTAACTTCCTATTATCAGTAGAAGAAATATGGACTGCTTGTTGCAAGCTGGAGACACAAACTGAGAAGTTTTTACATAAAAATAAAACTTGGTGCTATAATTCACGGAGCAGATGAACAGAAACTGTCCTGCAGTGACGTGTGAGCGAACGTTCGATTCTTTCTCACCTTGCAGCGCAGACACGAGTGTTGTCCCAGTCTATTACAGGAAATGCCTAAAACAAATTGTGAGACACTCGTCACTTCACACCCTCTAGTTATTCTCTTGGTATGAAAAAAACATGCGCTAACTTTTCCCTAACCACAACAATAAAACAGAGTACAGACTCACATTTGAAGGTTTCTGCCTGAAGGATCTGGCAACTCGCCTGGTGCTCAAACTGATCATCCTCACAAAGGAAGTTCTGACAAAAGGAACACCGGAAAATCCGACCTCCTGTTCAGGAAGTTGAAATTGTCAGCTGCATTTGTTGTTGTTTGAAGTGGGAATGTGCCAGAAGGATGCTGGAGGAGTGTCTCACCATGATCCCAGACGCCTCGCTCACACTCGATGCAGTCGGCGTCCGTCAGGGGACACGCACAAGCGTGAGTGCTCAGACATTTCCTACCGTGGCAAACCCAGGCTTCACAGAAGTCGCACACTGCCCCCTGGAGTTACAACAAAAACAGAATTACAGAGGAAATGACGTTTTATATCGTCCTTTTCAAAGAACAGTTTTAATACAAATAAGGCAAATTCAATCTTTGCAATTCAACACAACTGCACATAAGTCAAAACCTGCAGCATCCTATAGGACATGCGTGTCAAACTCAAGGCCCGGGGGCCAAATGTGGCCCTCGACATCTTATCTGGCCCCCAAGATGATATGTGAAACGTAAAATACTTCTGTCCCTTGAATTGTTTCAGTAATCTTTGATTGTGTCGTCAAAAGCACAACAGAGAAATCAAATGAGACCAACCAAACTCTTGTTGAGGAACCTGTGACCAAGAAAAGATGCCGGTGTTGATTTGAGTTCATGTAGTTTCTGAAACTGGCCCTTAGTTTGACACAGGTTTTAATGTTGGCCCCCTTTTGTAAGTGAGTTTGACACCCCCCAAGTATTACTTCAATAACTGCTGTGAGCAGGTTGCTCACCAAAGATCACTTGTAGAGAAATTAGCTGTAGACGGGACAACAAAAAACAAAAACAGAGTTGAAAGAAAAACAGACGTGTCTTTAAAAACAGGACACTAAGATGCATCATAATGCGTCTCCTTAGAAAACGGGAGGTTATGGTCGTAAGCCAGGGCTGGACTGGAAGAGAAGATGTTTTATTGCCATGTTAGTGCAAGGACATAAACATGTTGCAGTGAACTCACCACCATGGCCAGTCCAGTGGTGTGAATCCCTGGATGCTTGATGACACAGTCTGAAGACTTCATGCACTTGGTTTTACCTAAAAACACAAAAATGTACATGTTGAGCGTTGTGTCAGGAAGGTCATGTTATTTTTTAATTAAATTACTCCCGTAGATCTTTATTGTTAAGTGCTTTGGTAACAGCTTCTGTTTTAATGTACTTTATAAAGTTGACTTGACATCTGACGCTAAAACTAACATGCAAGTTTGTCCAGAAGGACCCAGTTAAAATTACCACCCCTGCTGCCGTCAGTTGTCGACCGGGGGGGGGGGGGGGGGGTTCGGTAGGTAGGTTCTTTTGAGAGGGTGTGTTTCTTTTGCAGCTTAATAATAGTTTTGGTTTCTCTGTGACTTATTTGATGAACGGTAGAAGCATAAACATACACCCAAAGATCTGGGAGAGAGTTGTGGAAGCAAGACTTGGACGAGAGGGGACTATCTGTGAGCAGCAGTTTGGTTTCATGCTGAGAAAGAGCTCCACAGATCCATCTTTGATTTGAGGATGATGATGGAGAAGAACAGAGAGGGTCTGAAAGAACTCCATTGTGTCTTTGTGGATTTAGAAGAAGCATCTGAGAGTGCTGAAGGAGGAGGTGTGGTGTTACATGAGGACATCTGGAGTGGCAGAGAAGGATGTTAGACTGGTACAGGACATGGATGTAGTGTTTCTCCTACCATTATACAAGCAGGGCGCCCTGCCCCGTCAACACAACCGAGCTCCCCGCCCCAGTGGTGTACAATACAGACGTATCTCCCTCACGCCGAGGATGTCAGAAATGCATCTACTAGGAAAGAGACCAGGAGATGTATGGACGCAGTTAGAGAGGTGGTTGGAGTGAGGACAGGGAGAGACGGAGGACGATGACTCG